ACCTCAAGACCTGTTTGAACTACAAAGTCAGTGGTTCAAATTCATCAGCAGTTCCTTGGCAACCCTATACAGCATCGCTATATGTTGGAACTGACTCAACGGCACAAAACAACAACACAGTGATGTTTCTCCACAAATCAATGCAAAGGAAATAAGAATATTTTGCTCTCCATTTTCTTTAGTAGTTTCTGTCTCAAAATATTTGACAACTAACACCCTGTGATTGTGCAGATTTGAAGTTTCAGGAGCCATGGTTTGAAATATTCATGAGAAGTTGTAAAGCATGACGTATGTTAGAGATAATACTCATTTGTGGTTGTTATTAATTTTTAGGAGAAAACCTCAATTTTCCTGTCTTCAAATTTAGAATATCAATGTTGGCTTCTTTTTCACCATTACCTAATTAATTTGAAAAGCATGCTCAATTCAGTGTTTTGGGTCTTCCGGTCTACATCTGTCTTCTGCCTTCCTGTTCCGTAGGGAAAACCTGAATTTATCCAGCTGAGGAGCGATGGCTTTGGAAAAGACTGTTTAATTAAGAACAAAGCTTCTCAGTCTTGTCACTACTGGTACTAGATAATTCTTAACTGACTAAATCACAATTTTGTGTTGTGTAAAGTTGGCCTGTACATCATAGGATGTTTAGCAGCATCTATGGTCTCTCTCTTACCAGTTCTAGTTGCAACCCTTTCATAGTCGCAACCAAAAAATGTCTCCAGGCATTACTAATTGTCTTTGGAAAGGTAGGGGAGGGAAAGATTACCTTTAGTTGGGAGCTACTTATTGAGAATAAGGAAAACTTTGCTGCTATTTGTTGTTGTTAAGTGCCATCGAGTCGGTTCTGACCCATAGCAACCCTGTATAGGGTTTCCAAGGAGTGAATGGTGAGTTTGAACCACCGACCTTGCAGTTCAAACGGTTTGCAGTCTGGCACATTAACCCACAGTGCCACACTTCATCATTTAAGTCATCAATAATAAATTTATTACTCATTTGGTTATGAGCTTGGTAAAAGATGGAGAAGATTGCTTTTAGCACCTTCCCAAAATCTCTGTATTAATTACTTCAGAAGCAATCAATTTATTCAGCTCTAAAAATTATTTTCTCTCCTACAGCTCCATGTTTGATATTCCAATTGCTTCATGATAATCAAATTAAGTAATAAAATATTTAAATATAATAAAATTGATCTGATACTCCAATCACTTAGAATAATTTCTAGCATTCACTACAGAGTTTCAGCCAATTAGCTATAATTTGCAATGAGCTTAAAATGAAAAGTTGTTATAAAATCTAAAAGTGTATATGCTCCAAACTAGACTTACTATTTAGTGAATATGCTTTCACCATTTGTATTTCCTTGTTTATAGATTCTATCTTTTCATATGTCCACCCAAAGACAAAAACAAATAAATAAACAAAATCAACAACAAACAAAAGAGCAGATCATTAAAGGTCCAATTCAGCTATCAGCTTCCTGATGATTTACAAGATTAATGAATGTCTTGTTGATTCCTTCCATTTTATAAACATGGAAACTAAATCCTAGGAGGAAAAGAGATCTGCCTCAGATCACAGAGTCAATGAATAATAGACCTGGAATTGGGTGACTATTTTGTTATCTCTCTTCTCTAAAGTCTATAGTACTTATAACATAATAATTATAATATAAATGTTAATAAGAGCATAACCCTTTTTTTTTGCTCAACAACAACAAAAATGTTCCCCATGTATTTATCTTTTTTTTTTCCAACTAAAGCTCTCTGAGGTAAAAAAAAAACATACCAAGCCACTGCTGCATTACTCCGAATGTCTCATGTAGTTCTGTGCACCAGTTGTTGGTAAGTGGCATTAAGTGGGTTCCATAGAGCCCCTGTATAGGGTTTCCAGGAGCAGCCGGTGAGTTTGAACAGCTGACTTTGCCATTACAGTCAGGACTTAATATGTCTATACTGAGTGCTTCCTATTGGCAGGAGAAAGCACCCAAGAGATATATGAAATACTGATGTGGGAATACATTTCCATTGGGATTTAAAAAAATTATATAGTTTACAAAATTTACACTTTTACAGAGAGAAATGATGTGGCACAAACAAAACCACAAGGTTGGTTTGAACTACAAGGTTGGCGGTTCAAACTCACCAGCTGCTCCTTGGAAACCCTATACTGGATTGTTGTGTGTCAGAACCAACTTGATGACACTTAACAAAAACATTTGCGGGGGCTTCAAAAAGTTCATGGACAACTGCATTATCTTTTCCTTTCATTTTTTTTGAACTTTTTGAAGTTGTCTCATATACAATCATGTTTTAATTTCCCCTGTCAAAGTGTATAACATAAGGCACTCGTATTTACTCATTTAATTCTCTCAACATCCCTAACGGGTTGTTGTTGTTGTTGTTGTTGTTGTTGTTGTTGTTAAGTGCCATTAAGCAAGTTCCTATTCATAGCAACGCTGTATAGGGTGTCCAAGGAGCAGCTGGTGAGTTTGAAGAGCTGACCTTGCAGCTCAAATCAACCTTACTGTCCCTGTGCTTATCCTATAGCGCCACCACCATTTTTCTCATTACAGAGGTAAGGAAACTGAGGAGCCACAGAGAGGCTGAGTAACATGTGAAAGGTTACATGAACTAGAAATCCATGTTGTTAAGTACCATCGAGTTGGTTTCAACTCACAGACGTCCTATAGAGGGTTTCCAGTTAGCGACTGGTGGGTTTGAACCACTGAGCTTGCAGTTCAAACTGACTTTACAGTCCAGTGCTTATCTTACAGTGCCACATCATGACTCCATACAAACAGTTAATATGTAAGTATTTGAGAACACAATTCACAGTGATGATCCTCTACACATGTATATTTTAAAGGCTGATGATTTGTTTTCTTTATGAACAAATAAAAATGCTTGAATTTCTATACTTATTTTCCATCTCTCAGAGAAACTTATGTGCATAAGATTATAAATGATACTTCTATAAACAAACAAACAAAAAAAACTTAAACTAGCAAAAAAAACAAACAAACCTTAAAAACAAAACCAAACCTGGTGGTGTTGCGTTGATCACTATTCATGGTGTCTCTGTAGGACACTGTGATACTGCTCCAGAGGCTTTTCCCCGTGTCCAAGGTTGTAATCTTTATGAAAGCAGACTACCACGTCTACTCCCATGAAGTGGCTCATGGGTTCCAACCACCAACCTTTTAGTTGAAAATTTAACCATTGTGCCACCAACGCTCCTTTGAAAATAGCAGTTGGTGGTGGTTATGTGCCGTGGAGCCGGTTCCTACTCATAGCGACCCTGCATAGGGTTTCTGAGGCTGTAAATCTTTACAGGAGCAGAAAACCTCATCTTTCTCCCGTGGAACAGCTGGTATTTTCAAACTGCTGATCTTGTGGATTGCAGCCTGATTTGTAACCATTAAGCTACCAGATGGGCTTAATAACATAAATAGAATTGTGTTCATGAAATGAATAATTTTTCTTCCCATGTGGCATTGGTTAAAGTCTTTTCTCAAATACACAAAGGAAGAAGGTAAGCAACAGAGATGCCCCCCAAATAAAGTTAAATATCAACAGCCTAAAACTGAGACAGAGACAAAGAGAGAGCGAGAGAGACAGAGAACAGACCTTGTCAACAAAGACACCAGATCAGTAAGATGTGTATTTTACTTTATGAATTAAAATATATAAAATAGTATGTGTACCACTATGTGAATTACTTTTCTAATGTAGGTGGTTTACATATTATTGTTGTTGTTAAATGCCATCAAATTGGTTCTGACTCATAGTGACGCTGTAAGGTTTCTAAAAGCAGTTGGTGGGTTTGAACTGCTGACTCTGTTGTTAGCAGCCCAGCACTTATCCTACAGCACCACACCAGGATCCATATATATTACTGATATTGCTTGTGTTAAGTGTCATCTAGTCAATTCCAACTCATAGTGACCCTGTGTAGAGATTCCAAAGCTATAAATCTTTGCAGGAGCAAAATTCCTCATCTTTCTTGTGCGGCAGTAATCTTCAATTGCTCTCTGGGTAACAAAAGGAAATCTGGTGTTGCACTATAGCATCACAGTGGACTGTGAACCATAAGGTTGGCAGTTCAAACTCACCAGCTGCTCCTCAGAAATTGATACAAGGTTGTTATGAGTTGGAACTGACTCAATCGCACATAACAACAACATATATGCTACCTTTGGTCTTATGATGTTGAAAACTATCACATTCATTCAAAACCTCTAACAATAAGAATTAACAGAGCTATCAGGAATTTATTATACTTCATCCTCAGAAGGTACAGTATAATGGTGGACAAAACTAAATCATCCTCCACAGTCTACATCAAAGCAAGAGGGCAAAGTACTGAAAGTTTTGTGTATCTATTAATCATAATTCATCAAGTTCCATTTCCATTGTATATTTTTAAGCTCATGATCCCCTAGGTGGCAAAGAAAAATTATTTGATCAACCAAAAATAAACAAACTTTTGCTTTACACTTTTCTTTTTCATTTTTATAATATAAATATGTAGATCAATATTCATATTAAATGCAATTATTTACACTTATGGGGCTCCTGGCATGGTGCTGTAGGATCAACACTGGATTGCAAACCATAAGGTTAGTGATTCAAGCCCGCCATGTGCTCCTTGGAAACCCTATACAGGTTTGCTGAGAGTTACAACCAACTTGACAGCACTTAAAAACAACATTTACACGTGTTGGATGTGGCACATGGAAATGAAAGGTGTCATCTAGGTTTCTAAATATTACTAGGCACTGAAAAATAATTATTGGAATGTGAACCACAATGTTGGTGGTTCAAGCCCACCAGCCACTCCATGGGAGAAAGATGAAGCTTTCTGCTCCTGAAATGATTTACAGCCTCAGAAACCCTACACAGGGTGGTTATGAATCAGAACTGGGTGGCATTTAACAACTAGGCAAAAGCAAGGAAAATGGATTAAAAGAGAAAAAGCCTCAGAAAGGAGTGATTACTCACAATGTTCATCAGGGTAAGAAGATAGTTTTGGACGTGCTCTTTGCCATGGAAACGGACCACAGAGTCATCCACACCCAATAGCACTTCAATGTTGTAATCATTTTCTCCAGTGTGTCTGCGGCTCCTCACTGTCTCATTCAGTTGCTGTTCAACGTTGCTGTAAACAGTACCTAGATCATCAAGGCCTTCCAGAGTCGACTCTATTAAGACACAAAAAGAACCCAGGCATTTAAATGTTCCTAGTGGACTTTCTAATAATTGTTTTAGGAAAAAGTCTTCTAGGGTGCCCATAATCATTGAGATACATGAATATATAATCAAATGAATCTTCCATACGTTCTACATAGAATACTGGAGTAAACTAATATAATTGTACAGAGAGCAGAGCTACCAATGCAAACTGAATGCTCCATGAGGACAGGTTTAGTCTTCCTTCTATCTGTATCTCCAGTGCAGAGCAAAAGTAGTGAGAAGGATACAGAGCATGTGCTGACTAAGCAGTTATTCAGTAAAATGATAGTATGAATACAAAATCACTTGACTATATATTTATAGTTGTTAATTCCAGTTAACACAATTACATATAGAGAATTTGTATTACGTAAGTTGAAATTAATCTTTTTTGTGGTAGCCTTCATTTAAGAATCAAATTAGAGCAGGCCAACACAATGGTGCAGAGCGGTATGATTATTTGTTACCACATCTTGGTTTTCTTTTCTTTTACGAGTTTCTTGTAAAATCTACTAAGGAAGAAATGCATAATAAAGTAATTAAAACTACACATCTTCATATTTGTACCTGCTTTCATCTGGATTTTAGTTCATTTCAATTATTAATTATCTGAATTTGTGTAATGCTAGAGTAAAGAAATCAGTCTAAGAATTACTGTTGTCTGTGCAAAAATAAAAGTGCAAACATTTTTTAAAATTTCATGCAGTTAAGGTTTTTTAGAATTTTACTTCTAAAAATATATACTTCAAAGATACAACTGTATTCTGTATAGAGATAGAAATTCTCAAGCTGTGCTTTGGGTGAAGAAAATGTTTTAGTGAATTGAAAAATAAAATAGATTAGTTGGCATTAAAATAAAAGATTATTCAAAACTACTGTATAAAAATGGAAAGTATATTCACTTCCATTTCAAATATATAAAATCTGGAAGGGATTTAACTTTTAAAGTACCTTGATGTCTAAAACAACCATATATCTAAAACCAAATTTGACAGAACTTCTTCTGACTCATGCTTTCTATGGTGGTTTATTTATTACTGCACTGGGATCTGTAAACCATTTAAATCAGTGGCTGACATTAATGAATAGTCATTTTCCTCATCATCTCTGTGGTTTTAGTGAAGTTGAGGGGGAGAAAAAAAGGTGTCGCTTGGACAGAAAGACTGATGACCAAGTCTGAGCCACAGAGGATTAGAAGTAGGAGAAGTACAGATCCCACACACACATTTTCCTCCTTTAAAAAACCTACAGAAACACCAATCCCCACTCCTGAAAGTACAGGCATACACTCTGAATATGACTAGTCAGGTTTGAAAGTTACACCGTAGTGTAGTTCTCTTTGGCTCATATGCAATTGCTAATTTATTAGCTGGGAATTTTCTCCTCACCAGGGACTCACATTGGTGCCACAACACATAAATAACTCTCACCACCATCCACATCAAACAGAAAGTTTTCCTCAAAAGTTGTTTTGAAGATGGCAAGAGATGACACCTGCAGACAGCTTTACTACTCAACCTCAAGTCTTTCACACAGATGAGAATGTGGAGGGTTGTGATAGCTAGTATACAAATAGGAAATTCATACATGAACTCCCAGTTCTAAAAATCGTTCTTATTGGCAGAAGCATCAGAAATAAGATCCAACAGAAATACACTAGCAATGCCATCATATCATTCAATCTGGTGCATGAATCAAGAAGCTTACTACTCATTTCAAAAAAGGTAGTTCATTCTGTTATGTCTAGCAGCACACCTTGGTTTTTCCTTTGCATCCTTCCTTAAGTAGGTGATTTTCTATTAAGGAAAGAAAATTTATTTTTTGTTGTTGCATGAAGAACTGGGGAGGGAGATGAAACACTTTTTTTTTTCCCAACCACTGACTTTGTTATATCAAGAATATCTTTGATCCTATTCTTCTCTGATCTGCTCAGTTCTCTTTTACCATGATCTGTAAAGTGAATAACTTCAAACGTTCAACAGAAAGACAATGGCATTACTTCTGGAAACTTTTAACTATTCACAACTATGTACAGAGAGTTCTGTAGCTATTTGTAAAGTATCTTCATTTCATAATGAGCTTTTCTCAGCATGCCTGTTCTACCATGTCTTAGTTAAGTGATTAGTTGTATTAACTCTGGAATCAGACATACTTAACTACCAATCCAAGAATGTCACATCTTAGCAACATGAATTTACTTGGGACCCCTAAAATCTCCGAGCTTCAATTTCCTCAAATTGTAAAATAAAGTCCTGTTGAGGTTTTGGGCTGTGAAACAAAAGGTTGGTGGTTCAAATCCAGCAGCCGCTCCTTGGAAACCCTATACAGGGTTGATGTGCTCAATGGTACACAACAACAATAACAAAATGGGATAATAATATCTACTTTTCTGAGGTGCTTTGGCAAAAACAATACACACATTGTCTGTGTATAAGTGTTCTATAAACAGTACTTAACGCTATCTCTAATAGTACAATTATTATTTTCCACTAAGTTGTCGTTATTGTGTGCTTTAGAGTTGGAGCCGACACACAGTGAACCTGTATACGGTTTCCAAGAGTGACTGGTGGGTTTGAACTGCAGACTCTACAGTTAGCAGGCCATTTCCATTAAGAGAAGCTTTAATTTGTCTTTTTTTTTTTTTTAAGGCATTGGAAGACACAGCAAGGAGTGCAAGAATTACAGGAAGTAGAGGTAAGTACTGTTACTTACACAATCCTGCAATAACAGTAATTTAGCAGTTGTTGTCGTTAGGTCTTGAGTCAGTACCAACTCATAGAGACCCTATGCACAACAGAAGTAAACTGCCTGGTCCTGGCCCACCTCACAATTGTTGCCACGCTTGAGCCCACTCATGCTGCCACTTTGCTGATCCATCTCACTGGGGGTCTTCTTCTTTTTCGCTGACCCTCCACCCTACCAAACATGATCTCCTTCTCCAGCAACTGGCCCCTCCTGACAATATATCTGAAGTATGAGAGATGAAGTTTGGCCATCCTGGTCTCCAAGGAGCAACATATTTGTTGCGTTACACGTTAATGACCAAAGAACATAACAGTTGTTGGATGAAATTAAGAACATCATACACAGATCTATTGGTTCTTTTGGCAGCACATGGCACTTTCAGTATTCTCCTCCAACACCATAACTCAAAAGCATCAATTATTCTATGGTCTTCCGTATTCATTGTCCAGGTTTCACAGGCATATGAGGTTATTGAAAATACCTTGGCTTGGGTCAGGCACACCTTAGTCCTCATGCTGACATCTTTGTTTTAAACACTTAAAAAAGGTCTTGTGCAGCAGATTTGCCTAATGCAATATGTCTTTTGATTTCTTGACTACTGCTTCCATGAGTGTTGATGGTTGATTCAAGAAGAATGAAGTACTTGGCAACCTCAATCTTTTCTCTGTTGATAAGAATATTGTTTATTGGTCCACTTGTGAGGAATAGACACATGGAATGACAAACAAGCTGGATGGGTGTGGGAAGTAGAGTGGAAGTATATCCAAGAATATATGAAAGTTGGACAGAGTATATTTACATGTTGGTGTTTACTTTGCTGAAAACAGGGGGCAAAACTATGAAAACTGTTTAGACACTACAGAACACCTTCAGGGAATGAGTTACTGGGACTAGGGGTGTGGGGGACATGATGGTCAAGTCACATAATAAAATCCACAGAGACAATGTTCTGTATTCTAATTTGGAGAGTATCAACTGGGGTCTTAAGAGCTCACAAATGGCCATCTAAGGTGCAGCTATTGTTCTTTACCTGTGTGGAGTTGAAAAGAGTGATGAAAATTGAAGACACTTGGAAATAATTAGTCCAAACATCAATCTTCATGACCTTGAGACCAGAATAACAAAATGGTGCCTGGCTACCACTACCATCTGCCCTGAAAAGGATACATTCAAAGATACTAGATAAAGTGGGAGAAAATGTGGAACAAAACACAAGATCCCCTAAAAAGATCAGTCATACTGCTCAGATAAAGGCTGACAGGCACAAGTTTGGTGATTCAAACCCACCAGCCACTCCTTGTAACCCCTAAACAGGGTTATTATGAGTCGGAAGTGACTACATACACTAGATATCACTTAACAACAGCAAGGAAAACTATTACTCAAATTTATGCAACCACTAAAGCCAGTGATGATGACATAAAATAATTTTACCAACTTATTCAATATGAAATGGATCAAAAATGAAATCAAAATGTATTGATAATTACTGGTGAGGTAATGCAAAGGTGGGAAACAAAAAGGTAGGATCAGTAGTTGGAAATTATGTCCTTGGTGACAGAAATAGTGCTGGAGATTGCATGATAGAATTTCGCAAGACCAATGACTTATTCATTGCAAATTCATTTTTAAACAACATCAAAGACGACTACACATATGAACCTCACCAGATGGAATACACAGATATCAAATTGCCTACATCTGTGTGGGAAAGCACCATATTATCAGTCAAAACAAAACAAGGGACAGATTGTGGAACAGACCATCAATTGATCATATACAAGTTCAGGCTGAAGCTGAAAAAAATTAAAATAAGTCCATGAGCGAGCCAAACTATGACCTTGAATGTATCCCACCTGAATTTAGAGATCATCTCAAGAACATATTTGTTGCGTTACACATTAATGACCAAAGA